ATATATAGTATATAATAGGGTCTTTAAAGATTGGTAACACTAATTAAATTTAACTCAGCCAATAGGTGGCGATGTGTCCTACTAAGGTGCAGCTGTGTGCCAAACTGGGTTGAAGCAGCCAAGCTGTGTGCCAAGCTGTGTTGAATAAAACAGTTTTTTATTTGCATTGTACATGTTATTTCTAGAGAATTTTCGTAAACCCTTTGATTACTTTAATCATATTAATAAGGTGTATTATTGTATAGTAGTACCAAATTCCCTTTAGCATAGCGAGGGACCTGTTCGCGCATGGTTAGTATCTGTACAATAAAGTGTGATTTTGTTGAGATTATACTTTTAAAAGGGCAGTGTATAATCGTCAAAATAGAATATCTTAAAAAATAAATCCCCTGTCTATATAGCATGTGCCCCGGAATTTTCCTTTACAATAGATTCTGAGGGTCGTGCATTCTAACAGCAACAGACTCATTCACAGCACGTATATAAATATTGATTACGATTAATCATGATTACGAACACATTGATTACGAACACATGCTCTGATATAATCAGGAATTAGCAGAGGTGAAAGTGGTTTTCTGCAGAGTATGCAACACATAAAAACAAATTTCTTTATATTTATTTCTATGACGCCAAACAATACTATATTAGTTCAGGATATTCCCGCTGGAACTCAAGTGGCGCGCGTGTTGTTCATTTGAGACAGTATGCTCGTACAAGATCAACAGTTTTACACGACAACCTGTCGTTAGGTCGCTATCTGAGTTTCGTGAAGCGTTTTCTTCAGTGGTGCTTAGAGGATATATCTTTACATATATAGGCCTAAATGCCTCTTAAGGAGTATCGAATATGTATGCCACTAACGGTAGAAGAGGTACGTATTTTATCCTAGTTATTCAAATCACTCGACATTGATTGTTTAGCACACATTGGTTTGTCACACACTCAGTGACACTGTGACTGTCAATGGCTCAGCCACATGTCATCAACATCACAGCCATGATGATGATTATGCGATTAACGTAAGGAATATTCAGGTAGCGATTTCAGATTCTATGAATTGTAGATTGAAACTGTAGATACAATAGTGTATCACTGTGTGTAAACTTTATATGAACCCGGACTCGGTTCATTGCATGTGCGTTCGATCGTGCAAAGCTGCTAATACTAATAGCTCTAGTACCCCACGTACAGTTGCCACTGGCAACTGTACACGGGCTATAGTACTAGAGCTAAGCTGCTAACAGCCTAACTGTTAGGCTGGCCATCCTACTTTTTGTATTCCCTTTAAGTAGTGTCTAAACGACCGGACCCGGTTTCGGAGGCCTGAAAACTAAACAACCGGCTCTCTTTTCTGATTGGTCAGTTTCCGAACATAACACTAACAGTACAAATATATAATAGGACAATTTTTAATGCAAAACATAAAGAAATATATTTAATTCCGAACATAAACAAAAGTTACAGAATAAATAAATGAATACGGAACAAATAAATGCAGAAACAAATAAAATACAATGAAATACAGAAAACAGAGGAAAATAAAAACATCTTATGGGGTTCAAACACGGTCCCTTACTATCACGAAGCGAAAGCTCTACCATTGAGCCACTAAAACCAACTTGAAAGTGAGGCATATAGACCCTAACCCTAACCATAATCCTAACCCTAACCCTAACCCTAATTCTAAAATAAAATTAGCCAAAAATAATAAAAAATAAAATAGTGACAAAATTAGCCAATCAGAGAAGAGAGCCGGTTGTTTAGTTTTCAGGATACCGAAACCGGATCCGGTTGTTTAGACACTTCCTACACTTTATGCTTACTTACATATCTTCAAGAATTTGTCACGTATTGTGAGGCCGTATTACAACTATAAGCTTGTATTATTCTTATAGCCACTTTGGGTTAGAGAATATTTAAAATGGTTTAAAATCAAGCCATATGGCACTACATTAGACGATACTGATATCACATTTTATGTAATATACCGAACTAATAATACTGGTATGAAAAGCCCAACATCAATAGAGAATTATAACTATTCAATGTACATGCATGTACATGTAGTTCTTTGAATAATGTAAAAGATGTCAAATGTTATCTGCTGTAGCACTGGCGGCCACAGGTCTTAAGAAAGTAGAAGCACAGAAGGATAAAATCCTCAGTGATAATAAAAAGCAGGCGCGCTGCATGCTAGGGGTGTCTGGGGGCATGCCCCCCCTGAAAATTTTTGAATGGTAGACGTCTGGAGATGCAATCTGGTGAGTCTTGCGAGAGAGATTTAGGAATAAAAATTTTTAACCCAAAATTTACTGGAAGCACTGTGCTTCCAGTGCTTCTATCTGCGGGCGCCACTGTGCTGTAGCCAACTGACGCAGTGTTAATACTGTTATCGTGAAGTATATCAGATGTAGCTCCTGTTGATTTCTATATCAGTGTTCATGTCAATGTTTGTTTCTAGGCAGTAGCTGGAGGTGCGGCAGCTGTATCTCCAATTTATGAGGCTGGGGTACAGCAGTCCATTCGCTTTCATACAAACGAGACAAAGATGGCGACGGATGGCGGCAGATTTCGAAATAATGCATTGGGGAAATAAATTCACGTTTTGAGAGTTTTGATGAGCTAGAAAACACTCGGATTAGGTATGAAAGTGAACATTATTGTAAACTTTACTTCAGAAGATCGCAAATAATTGCCTCAGCCCTCAAACAAATGCCAAAAAGGGGCTTCAACGAACGACGGCTGCCGTACCTCCAGCCACTTTGTTGTTTATATATCTTGTTTGTTTATGCACCCTAGACTGGAGCATATTTTTTGAATCTAATGCATCCCTACAAACGATTATCAGACATGCAACACATATATGGCATACACGCAATATGCTTATACAATCTATACTAATACTTATGCACTCGTGTATACACACACATATTATAATATATATATATATAATATACATGATAATACTTTAGTACCGGATTGGCCAGCTCTACATGATCAGCAAGCACAGCCATGAACAGACTGCCCAAGGTGAGGGCGTGGAGGTACTCATAAACGACCCGATAGATGACCCCCAGCTCGGACATGGTCAGTACACCGAGAAGAGAATACACCTGTCCAGGTGAGTAAGCAATTGCTGATGCGATGAGAGTTGTGTGCGTGCCATCATTCTAGATTTATGTTGATACATGCTGATAGCTGTGCAGCTCTCATCAGACAAGCTGTTGTTTTGTATGTGATATCATCGTTAGCTTATTAAAATTTACGTTGCCTTAAACACTTTACTTTTCCACTTCCATACTTTACCATTTATACTTCAAATTCCAAAGTGAATTTTAGTTTTTTAACATTTTTCAGTAATCTAATTATTGAGAATTAAAACGCTACATGTTTCAATGATAAAATTCAATTGAAAAAGATTTCAAAATACAAAATTGCTTTCAAAATCTAAAAGTCTATAAATTAAAACTTTTAAAATTCTAAACTTGTTTTTAAATTACAAACCTGATTTCAAAATCCAAACTCGATTTCAAATTCAAAACTCTATTTGTAAATTTCTAACAACTACACCCTTCTCACTCCTCACTCCTGATGAGATTTACTGATTATTGGTGTTTAGTTTACACTATTGTTTATTTTACAGCCGTCTGCCCAGTTGGATACGAGGTCTTATACCAAGAATATTCTATGTCACAGAAAAGGCTTGGAATTTTTATCCCTACACTAAAACTGGTGAGTTACTAGTGACACATTTCAGTTGTACTGAGCTTGATCGTATAAAGGCCACCGGAGGCGTGTGGAAGGTGTGTGATTTCCACACGTGGAGCATACAGCCTGTTAGCTTATTGATTCGACTAGCACTCTTGCCAGTATTTATATTGGTGTTATATATTGGTTGGTTTTATTGGATGTGTACTGACGATAAATGAAATATCAGCTAACGTGTGAATGGTAAAACGTATATAATCAAAAATGGCACATACGTAGTGCGAATGGCAAAAACGTAGCAGAAAATGGCTACTTAGAAGAAAATTATAGTGTTCTTTTGTTTATTTCATGCACTGGTATGATGCCGGGAACACGTACATGTATTTTCCTCGACAACCGACAGAATACACAGTAAGTTGTTTAGCAGTAAGCCCTCTCAACGTTATCTCAATTCAATGGCGAATGCTTCATGATGGCTCCTCCGGGTTGGAGACGAGGGTTCGGTCACGATGTTGCTTGTTTGTTATTGTGGCGGGTTACACGGTACAGCGCGCGGCGATGGAGACGGAGAAAGAGCAAGCATCAGCAGGCTTCTCTCAATAGACAAACATAATTTTTGCAGCGTTCGCGCGCGCGTCACGTGGTGATGCCCCCTTCGTGGCTACGCCCGCTGTGCGTCGGCTGAGGGTCGAGCGTTTGAAGTAGGGTGCTGTCGCGGCTCGTGTTCGGTAAAACGAAACGCTGGAGGCCGCGCTCTGGTCTCATCAGTAGCGAATGAGGAGCTTAACGAGCTTAACAAGCGGATAACGAGCTTTGCAAGGCCACGCGGCCAGGCCGCAGCCATCTCACGTCGACATTGGAGAGGATAGCTTAAACAAACAGCGTGTAAATCGCGGGCAATCTAAGTTTAGACGCGTTATTATGTGTTTGGTTTATTCTACGAGTGACTACCTGTTTACAGAAGTTGCGCCGCTTGCATCAACACTGTCATGCTATCAAGGATGAATTTATGTAGTTTGTATGAGGAAGAGAATGCGTGGGAAGAAAGCGAGGGTGTGGGGAAGAGATTGAGAGAGAGAAGATGGAGTGTGAGAGGCTAATAGCAAGTAGGGAAAGAGTGAGGAAGAAAGGGAGGGAGGTAGAGATGAGTGGGTAATAGTGAGGAGTGGAAGAGAATGATGTTGACGGTAGATAAGCAAATAGAGAAGAAGAAGAAACTAAGGAGAGAAAGCAAGGGAGAGAGTGAGTGTGAAAGGAGTATGAGGAGGTAGTGAGAGGGAGAGGCAACAAAGGACGAATTGGGGGGGGGGAGATCAGAAAAAAAATTGAGTGCGAGACGAGATGGAGGGAGGGAGAGAAGGAACAAGGGAAGTGGGAAAGGGGGCGAGGAATGGAGCAAGGGAGCAAACAAGTAGTGTACAGTTACGTTTTTGACATATTGCAGTTGGTAGCGAGACCAAAATAGTCGCACGAATGCAATTTCATTCACCAGCCATGAGATGGTTACGACCCGCTACCTGATACTCACCGTGAACTCAGTTATAGCCACCATATGACCCCAGCTGTATATTTCCTTTAGTTTACTGCTGCAGCTGTGTGAACCTGTGTGACATTTCAAGCGCTGTCGCAGCGCGCAGATCGACATCCTGGCGTAGGCATCGTCACATATTATAGCCGCGACTACAGTACACTGCGTCGGGTTACAGGCAAATTAGGGCAAGAATTTAAGCAGCGGGAACGAGTGAGAGCGCGGCATTACGAAACAGAGCAGAAGTAAGTCTCTGCACGGCGGAGGGGAGGATGCGTGCAGTCATTATCCGGAAGCTGAGGAGTGGATGCGGATGCTGCTAGCAATTAGGTTGTGTATTCGGTACACCTGCGTAATCATCGTTGCTTAAGATAAGCTAATTAAAATCGTTCAAAGGTTCCCCGATAATTCCCCCTCGTGGGTTTTTGTGTAGATAGAGAGTTGGTGTGTTTAGTTGGGATTGTATTACCTCTACATCGCCAAGTATTAAGTAATGCAAGATGTAAAATTTTAGTTCTGGTCGATAATAAGTCTAATTTCGGACAAACATGGCATGTAGAATATCGCACCATATCAAATCTTAGTCTCGCCACATCTGTGCAAATATAAGGTGATTGATTAGCTAGATGAGAAGATTTCTGTAATCCCACACTCTATTGGGGCCTCGTTGGATGGGTTTGGTTAGGAATCAGGGAGACTTCTCTGTAACGCATTCTGTGTGTTTGCTCTGTAGCTTTATTCGGAGGCTTTGATAGCGTTCAGAATGGGAATCCAATGAGAAATAATTTTATTCCTACACACATGCGCTGCGGTGTCATACACCATTAGCCACGTATGCGACAGAAAAACCAACTCATTTTCTAAATCTCCTCCCTTCTGCACTCACACCATGTGAAGCCGCTTGATTGAAAACAGAACCACAAAACATCTCTAGTATTAAGCTAAGATGTATCGCATCACATCTATCACATGTTGTCATCATTATTGTGTGCTAACTTGGTGGTAATGTGCAATTGATTTTATCAAATTATCAGTAACAAAAAATCCTCCTAGTCCATTCCCGATTTAGCTTGGCCATGGTGGGATGCTTCCCGTGTGGAGGATGTTTGTTAACGAGCTTGTTTTGCGTGTTTCTCGTGTTGCAGTGCTCTTTCCTGCCGCGATTCTCAATCAGCATAGAGACGAGATACGAGGACAATAATGGAAGCTCGGAAAACGTGAGTCATGCACCCCCGCGCAATCAACACGCACGAAAAAAGAGAGAGAGGGAGGGGGAGAGAGAGCGAGCGAGACAGAGAGAGAGAGAGAGAGAGAGAGAGAGAGAGAGAGAGAGAGAGAGAGAGAGAGAGAGAGAGAGAGAGAGAGAGAGAGAGAGAGAGGGGGAGAGAGAGAGAGAGAGAGAGAAAGAGCATGTACTGTGTATGCCTGCACTCACAGTCGCAGCATGGAGAGAGTGTGTGTGCGTGCGCCAGAAGATATGGTGTTAAGAGCATGCTTCAGAGAGAGAGAGAGGAGAGCATGTTAGGAGAGCATGCTGCTGAGAGAGCGTGTGTGTGGAGTACACGGTGGCGATGTGTGTCCTGCTCGCGCCCCTGCGACATTAGCCAATGGGAAATTGATCCCGAAGCTTTGAACGCGAGTGCGTTCATGAAGTATTCATAAGCACAGTAATGAGCGTCTCTGGTGTCTCATAGCCGTACCCTGACATCGCATTACTCTCCACAGCATCAGGAGCAGTGTCAGCAGCAGCAGTAGTCATAGCAGCAGCAGCAGCAGCAGCAGTAGTAGTAGTCATAGCAGCAGCAGCAGTGTCAGTCACGGCTGCAGCAACAGCAGCGGTGGCGGCAGCAGCAGCAGCAGCAACAACAGTGGTAGTGGCAACAGTAGTAGTAGCAGCAGCAGCAGTAGCAGCAACGGCAGCAGTAGTAGAGTAACTGCAGCAGTAGCGGTATCAGTAACAGTAGCAGCAACAGTAGCAGCAGCAGCAGCAGCAACAGCAGCAGCAGCAGCAATGACAGCAGTACTTAGTAGAGTAACTGCAGCAGTAGCGGTATCAGTAACAGTGAGTAGCAGCGATGCGTTCCTATCATCTGTTGTATGTCGCGCCTTCAGTGCTTGGAGCTGTCACAGGAGGTGCTAGCTGAGCGTGAGGTCGACCATATAGACATCGCGCTAGATCCTCTACCAGATCACAAGTACAAGGAGAGTGAGGTACAGAACCCTCATTCATCTTTTATCCTCTCTCAGTCTCCATCTTCTCTCTTGTTGCTTAACTTTATTATATGTTTTCTATCGTTTTCTTTATTTTTCTCTACGGCCCCTCTCTTATCTCATCGCTTATCTCTCGTCTTTGTCTGGCCACTCACTCCCTATCTCTCATCACTTACAGGGGTAGAAATTAACTTTTGAACAAGGGAGTTCAACGGGCTCCCTACCCTCAAAAAGAGGGAGTCCGCAGCAAAATGAGGGAGTCCACAGTGTGAGGTTCAAAATCAAAGATATTAACAATAACACATGTGCTAATTTTTAAGATTCATGCAGTTGCACATCTGCCAAATTTTCTTCGGACATTAGCTGAAAAAATACAGTAATTCCGCGAGGCCGTGCTTCGGAACAAAGTTATAGTATAGTTATAGTTAGTTGGGCAGAATTTTCAGGGAGTCACACGAACTCCTGCATATGTCAAATCAGGGAGTCCGACAGAAAATCAGGGAGTATTTGACTCCGGTCTCCCGTTAATTTCGCACCCTGACTTATATCTCATCTCTCTTTGGCAGGTCTCTTATCTTCCATCTCATATCATCTCTCCATACTCTCTCTTATCTCTTATTGCGTTTCTGTCTTCTCTGTCCACTTATCTCTTACCATTTACAGTTCATCTCCCTCTGCCCTCTCTCTCTCTCTCTCTTATTTCTTATCACTTATATGTCATCTCTCTCTGGCCTGTCTCATATCTCTTATTGCTCATCTTTTATCTCACTTCGACCTCGGTCTCATCTCCTATCGTTTATCTTTTATCTTTCTCCAACCCCTCTCTTACCTTTTATCACTCATATCTAATTTCTCTCCGACCCCTCTCTTACCTTTTATCACTCATATCTAATTTCTCTCCGCCTGCTCTCTTATCTCTGTCTATTCTCTGTTTTTTTTGTGTTCCGAGAATCACTGAGGTTTCAGGTCAAAGCTGTTGACAGGAGTTACTAAGCGACGAATAGCCTACTAGACGTCACCATTACTGAATTCTATGCTGCAATTGCTGGCATCTACCCACGTTTCTGCCCTCTCTCTTATTTGAAAGGGAATGAGGGTTGGATTTACTGCTAATCTAGCCTTCATGCGATCACCTATGTAATTTCTCAGTGGTGTTGTCCAAGTGATTTAATCAGTGGGCTTGTTTGATGGCTGTTAGCTTCATTAGCTACAGTAATTGGGGTTTCCTGATGTTTGTTTCTTCTCTGTACCGCACCAACCTGGTCGATATTTCATGTTTGTAGTCGTGGTATTTCTCTGAAATGTTTTGTATAAAATTCAGTGTGATAATCAATGTCATTGAAATTTCTGTATATAGATGTATAATATCAAGAGCGAATTAAGAAGGTAATACGCCTTCTTAATACGCTCTTGATAATATCAGGGTTTAACATTGGTAATGATATTAATGTTGATGAATTTTAGGACTGTACGAAATTCAAGTCAGTGAAGACGAATAGAGGACCGTTAGAAGACAATTGGCGAGTAAGAAATAAATTTTTTATACATTTATTTATTTTTCGAGAAAATATAGCTCAAGCGATATTGAGATGGAGTAGTGCTTGTATTGGAAAATCTAATATCAGTATAAGTATATATATAGGAAAAAATGATTCCGTTACAGCCCCTGTTTAACTTATCTGACATAGTGAAGTTCAGTGTATGGTGTGGAACTACTATCTTTCTGTACTTCAACAAAATCAACACGGCATAATCTACAGTCTTCACATTTCACGCGTAGAGATGCAATCCAAAAATACATTGTCACGTCAAGCGTGGATGTCCAATAATCCAATTTCCCCTTCACTTGAGAAATAGTACTGACTTGGCGCACATGTGCAATTGCATCACAAATTGGCTTCACCTACATTATTATTATGGATATAGGGTTACAGTAACACACAGCGTGATGCCTAGCAACAGCAGTAACAGCATCAGTAAGAGCAGAAATACTAGCGGCATCAGTGGCAGCAGTAGCAGCTACGATATAAGCCTCGTTCACACGAGACCTCGTATTTATGAAATACGAACCTCGTTCACACGAGACCTCGTATTTATGAAATACGGTATTTGCGAAATACCGAATCTGAGACAAATACGCGGCCGAGCGTTCACACGCTGATTCGCGGCTCCAGAAATACGGTATTTGCGAAATACCGAATCTGAGACAAATACGCGGCCGAGCGTTCACACGCTGATTCGCGGCTCCAGAAATACGGTATTTGCGAGCTGCGAGCTGCTTTAGTAACAATCGAGCGAACAATGCGAAATAAACAATGCAATGCGCACCAACTGCCGATAAAATACGTAGACTGGTCCGCGCTCGACAGTTCCACTCGCGTTACACTGGAACTGTCGAGCGCGGACCAGTCTATAAAATACGTGGCTTCAGAAATACAGTATTTAGCATTCATACGAGGGATACGGCAAATTATTCGTGGTCTGGGAAACCGCGTATTTACATCAAATATCGGATCTGTTTAGATACCGTATTTCTTGGACCGCGCATTTTGCCTCGTGTGAACGCTAAATACCGGATTTCTTGCTACGTGTGAACGCGGCTATAGTAGTGCTGTTGCTCTAAAGCACTTAGATTAGATTTCTAGATTTATTAGTTCTGTAGTTTGAAAACATTTTGCTATTGCAGGAAACAAGCAATCCCATTATGTGCTCGTACAAAGCTGTTGAAGTAAAGTTTGAAGTGTGGGGACTGCAAACTCGAGTGGAAGGTTTTGTACATAGGGTAACTACAAATATACACAATAAATAAAAAAAAACTAACATTGCGATCCTCTCTTGTTAATGAAGATGCTACGATGCTAAATATAATTGGATGACAGATGGTATCTATTGCATTCCTAAAGGTGGCAGCTCGTTGCCTGCATGTTTGCACACGTTTCTGCTTCAGGCTGTAAGAGATGTACTCCTGCTAGGCCACAAACAAGCATTCACGTGGATTGATGAGTGGTATGGTAAGTACGTCGTCCTTCACAAATGCTTCTAATCATTGTGCTGACATGAATGTTCATCACGGAATGTGGGGCAGTGTTTGTACCTCGGCACTGCACGCGGAATGCTTGCTTTATTGATAAATGCAGCGATATTGATCTGTATGCATTTTCCCCTATCTCCCACACCTTTACTTCATTGTTCATGTATGGCTTAGTCTATACCTGGTGTACCTGCCTGCCATACACATCATGATGTGTGTGCATATGTGTTTGTGTCTGTGGTCAACATCACGATACACACTGCACAAATAATCACCCTGCCATGGAGACACCACTTTTATTCTGCCTATTCTGCCCACAGCAATAAAAACAAAATGAAAGCACATATTGTGATTAACTAGTTCATAGCTTTCTTTTGCGTGAGAGACGTAGCAAAAAATACCTTGTTCATGTTCTCGTCTTTTTTCTCGTAGGCATGACGATTGACGATATTCGGCAGTACGAGAAGGACATACAGGCACAGACCAACAAGAAGGTTCTCTGCCCGGGAGAGAAGCAGACAGTTGATGCTGCAGAGGAGGCACAGACCACAGAGGTTATACAAGCCGCTGATTAAGATGCCTCCCCCCTCCTCAGTCCGGGTCAGTCGGCTGTTGCTAGTGGAGTCGTCCTCTTCGCCCGAGCGAGATAACTCAGCAGATCTATCGAACACTGCCGCTGTATCGGTGGTGCTCACTCGGTTTGTACGTGGTTTTACACGTATGCGTGCCTGGACGTCGACTCTGTCGCACTTCGTTACTACGAATAGTTTTTAGAACGTCCCATCGTGACTCCGATCGGTCGCACCGGGCGGATGGAGAAAGTTGCTCCTGATATTACTGTCAACGGTAACTGCTCAATGAGGCTCTATTTCCAATATGCAGCCGGTCTGTGAAATGCTGGTTTATCCCTGTAGGCGTTTGAATACTTCGCGGAATGCTTCATGGTGTGGGAGATTCCGGTGTGGGGGGGGAAGAGAAGCATTTCATTTATGTTTACGTCACTACCTCCTTATCTTTCTAACAACCCTGCCTCCTCCATCCCAGCTGAGTGTATTAGCTGCAGAGGTGTGCCTAGTGCCTAGTCATATGACTCTATGCGAATTCATTGATAACAGCTCAGGTATGCAATCAATCAAAGCAGGGTATATGAATTATTTTCAGACTGAATGGAAGACTCGCTCAGAAAACGCAATTTTGGGAGGAAGATGAGAGCCAGAATGTAGTAGTCACTAATTAATTGGCAGGGGGAGGCTTATTTAATGCAGGCAGCTAGCAGCTAATCACAGCTACCAGCAGTAACGTCTGTATTACACCAGTCTGGTACATGTTTTATAAGAGCAGTATACTAATGCTGACAGTAGTGATTCCATGGTGTAGGATATATATATATATATATATAGTTAATTTATAAGTTGAGCCTGTGATATTCAGATATTTTTTGCGTTAAGGAATTACTCAATAATGCCAGTTTCATGCTGGAATATTCTTTAGAGATAAAAAAGAAAATGTGCGTGAGATAATAATTAGAAATTCTTGAAACTTCTAGGACTAGTGGGCAGAGATCATTAGATTTTCTCACATGCACATCATAGGCTTTAAGATTCTCGTATAGAACTGAGCTCTTTTTGTGTAAAGATACAACTACGTGGAACATGAATTAGGGTGAAAGTTGAGCATTTTAATGCATACATTGCCAGTCGTTCTGTGTTTAATTGTAAGACCATGCTGGTATTGCTGATGAACATTATATCATTAGCTAGTACGTTACTGTTCTATGTGTTCATTCTTTACTAGATGATACCAGCATGGTCTTACAATTGAAATTATAATTGGTATTACATGTGAGATTTTGTAAAATCCTATTGGATGTTAAAACTTTAACACTTGCCTCTAACTTACTACGAACTCGCACTGTTATAGTTTTACACGATGAAAGGCGTGATTTTGTTCGCGTCATTGCACATAGGTCTACGTTTATTCTTATAATTTTGTAATTACACGCACCCACGTGTGTGTGTGCGCGCGCGTACGTGCGTGCGTGTGTGTGTAATTATTATATGAAGTATATTGGAGGAGAATTAAGTATTTTTGTCATTATAATGACAAAGATATAAACCTACGTTTAGTACCAACTAGCAGTAGGTTGGGTGATATTCCTGACATCAGATAGGCAGTTTAATGTTGAAATTGTCCCATTACTTAGCCGGATTAGTGTTAGAACTAAGGAGGCCCTATAAACGGATTATCCTAATATTCGCATGTACACTTGTGCGCATGAGCGTATGCACATATTGAGTGTATGTATTCGATATGCTTGTGTTCATGATATTGATATTAGATAGCCATTACATATCTCGTATATAGATTGTTAAACAGTGTATATTATTAACTGTGTACGGTCATTGCTGTATCAGCGATTCATCGGAGGTTAAAATGTTTGGTTCATAGACAATAATATTTATTGTAGGATCATTGCATAATCATGAAATGGCAATACTCAGCATTTCAACTCGTATATTTGAGATTGTCTTACATCTGTAACGTTCTTGCAACGAGGTGGCAGTGCTAAACCATTAAGATATTGTAACAAAATAAGTTCTCCTGTCGTGTAATTCCTGTGCGTGATATTCCTAATTACCAATGTACATATATATGTTATGTAGTTGTTATGTTACTGGAGTATTGTTCGATAATATGTTCTGCCATATTCTTGTACCTGAGATGTGGGAAGGTCTGTACAACTTGGCAGTTAGAAAATTCCTTCTTGAACGGATATTTAGAAGTTAGATTTTGTAAACTCGCGTTATAACGTGTTAGTCACAGTTGCACAAATTCATAGGCAGCTTTCGTAGAGCTACGAACTTGAAACAAAACGAATCCTGTGATTTTTTTCGACCCCCAAATCACGCGATATGTTTTTTTTATTACGGTATGCGAACCTATATTACTAGTATGTATTCTTAGCATATGACAGCTAGTATTTTGACTGCAAAACTACCCAGTTTTTGTCAATACTGCGAAATAAATGCAATATTAGAGTGGGTTACCATATCATGATACAATACAACGGCATCGCTGTAAGTGTTTTTGTTAAGAAAACACTTTAGAAATGATGTCTGTCCACCAGTACTGCTTGGTAAGTGGCGCACACGGAACTGTGTGTGAAAACTTTATGCCACTGTGTGTGGTGCCGTAATCCCGGGCACAGAATTCTCCAGGTTAGAGATTTTTATTAAATTAATTAAATTATTAATTAAATTAAATTAAATTAATTAATTAAATTAAATTATTATTAAATTAATTATTTTAATGAATTATAATGCATTACGATGTACTGCAATTCTTTACATTCTGCGTTGCTACTCTGAATCTTCTTTCAGGTAGTGCACCGTACAGTGTAACGTCTATCGACTGTTGAGTAGGCGACGCGACTTACGTGTGTTGGGAAAAAATTCCCTAGATAATTTTACCCCACGGTCTGTTTACTGATGCTTCCTCGAGGTTCCCCCCACAATGCACTGCGGCTTGGGGTGTGGTACGAATTAAACTAACTAATCAAGTAAAATACGCACAGCCGCGCGTGGTCTCGTATGACTAGACATCTATTGGGAACAGCTGACTGTCTATGCCTAACGACGAGAAAACAGAACAAGGCCGAGTGAAACTCATAATTGCTTGTTCCAGCGCATACCTCTCTCATAACGCGACCGAGGACAGAAATGCCGGTGAAGATATCACATAGCCAGCCTCTGCATTTCTCGTCGGGTTTTAATTGCGCGCTACGAGTTTTTGTTGAACAATTATTTCTTTATGTTATGCGGTATTTTTATTTTTATTATTATAAATGATTCTACTACGCCGGATGTATATTTTGATTATTATTTGTGAATTAGTGGTATCTGTTGTTGACTCTTATGTAATGGTCTTCTTTTTAATTACTACTAGTCAATTAAATCCATGGTTCAGTCAATACTTGTTACTTATTTCATTCGTTATTCACGCGAATAATTCATTGGAACAATTTATCGAAACATGATCGTAAGAAGCGCCGACTATTCTACTTCCGAATAAGGTTTTGGAATTTTTTGATGTGTTTTGCAGTTGAGCGCTCTCTACCAACTTCTATCAATCATTGCGATGTAAATTGGCTTTTAATAATTCTCGAATGCAGCTGCACATAAGTAATTAGTATAGTATCTGACTAAGAAGTTGGGCGCAGTACGCGCGGCACTGTACGAGGTGTGTGAATGTCTGTGTGCTTGTGTGTATTTACTCATGACCTATGTACCTGTAGCAGGCGGCGTGCTTAAGCGATGCGTGTGTGCGCGTTTATGTGTGCTTATCAAACGGACGCGTCCAAAGGTCCACCCGACCGCACCGCCGCCACCGCCACACATAACAAGCCAGCAGGCCGGACATTTTTGAATTGTGGCCGAATTTGAGACGATCGCAAATCTCTGACGAGTATTTTGCGCCGATAGTTGGCATCTACAGAGAGGTAATGTTTTCGTCTGCTATA